CTCGTTGTGCAGAGTAAGAGCTCCGGACCACAGCAAGAGCACGTGTTCAATCTGCCTGGGGCGGGGCCCCAGAGACCAGATGCAGCAGAGACAGGCTCAGAGGAGCGGGGAGGAGACTATGAAGGGTCATCTCATCTGGCCCGACACGGTGGAGCTCTGAGTCATGGGATGGCTTTCTGGCCCAGGGAGCCAAAGGCCAAGGGACCACTGGTCTGAGCGGCTGAGGATCTGAGAGAGACTTGGCTGCAGGCTGAGGACCCCAATGACTGTATCCTGATGGTTTGCTGCTCCTGGCTTGTGGTAACCTATGAACTTCCCTAACAACTCCCCTTAACCCTGAGTATCATCTGTGCCTTCTGTGTGGCCGTTGCAACGAGCTATAAACTCAGCACAGATGGAAAGCAGTGCGGAGCAGTTGGGGTCAGAACAGACAAGGAAGGATGGACTCTGGAGGCGTGTCTGCCCCTGACTCACGGCAGAAGGAGGTTAGAGGAGGTCGGGTATGTCCGCCTCCATGGCTATGTATCTCTTAAGGGTCCTACTTCTTCCTGTTACGCTACCAAGGACAAATTCGTAAAACACACTGAGAGAATTGGGCTATGAAAAGGACTGGGTGTGTGAGACGGGGTGAAGGATGGTGTTAGAGTGTGACCCAAACCCACTACCCTGGAGTCAGTTCCAACTTACGGTAGCCCTATAGGACAGACTAGAACTGCCCCTGTGGTCTCTGGGGCTGACCATCTTTATAGGAGCAGACAGCCTCAGCTTTCTCCCCTAGCGTGGCTGGTGGGTGCAAATGGCTGACTTTGCGGTTAGCCACCCAACTCATAATCCACCAGGCCACCAGGGCTCCTTGCAGGGACTCCAGAGAGAGGGAAAAGCAGGGGCGTGTGTGGAGTAGCAAGGTCCTGCAGCTGGACTGACTAGACAGAACCAAGAACAACTTTTAACTGAGAAAAAGCAAAGGATGCTATGGCTTAATGGTTCTTTATTAGCCCCATCCTCCCAGCTTTGGGGCAGGCAGCCTGGTACCTTGTGTGCTCTTGGTTTCCTCGGGGTCTGAAGCACGCTCTCTCCTGTGAGAGCTTCAATGAGCCCCACAGGTTTAATTAACACTTTCATGCAGACTGTTCCCAAGCCAGCATCTCCAGAGGTAACCTCCCTCCTGGGCTACATGCCTCCTATCACCTGCCCTGCTCACGCTCCATTCCCATATATCAGAAACAGAACCCATAATCCCATGCAGCTTCCTGCTTCCATTCCTGTCCGTGGTATCACCACCCCATCTCATTTAGAGTCAAAAGCTCTTGTCTCCTCCTGGTCCTCAATCCATTGCTCAGATCTTTAGATCCTCCCTTGTCTGTCTCTCTATCCTCCTGATGAGCTGAGCCTAAAACTGCCCATACATCATCTCACCTAGACTTCTATAGGAGCCTTTCAGCTTTTTAATTTCTGACTGGTTCCCTCTCCAACTCTTCACACACTGGCAGCAATCTTCTGGAAGCCAGTTCACTCAGTCAACACAAATGCATTGAGCTCCTGTCCCAGACACTGTTCTTGGCCCTGGGGAATCAGGCATAGATAAAACTGGGTCCCTGCTCTCCGGGAGCTTCCATTCCAGTGGGTGACAGCACACAATACACAAGTGGCTACACAAGTGAAGAAGAAAATGAGCAGACAGTTTCATGTTGGGTTGCTAGCCAAAGGATCGGCAGGTTAAATCTACCAGTCCCTCCTCCGGAGGATGCAGAGGCTGTCTGCTCCTGTAAAGATTTACAGTCTTGAGAACGCTAAGGACCAGTTGTACTCTGTCCCCTGCCCTATCTACTTGTTTGTCTTGTGAAAGAACACTAGATTGAGATATTGTATTTGGGATGAAGAAACAATCCGGGGCTGAGAACTGATTGAAGATCTGCTTCTTTGGTTAGTATATTTCAGGAAGAAGAACTAGAATGTTGGGGAGGGATCAGCTAGGGCTAGCTCACAGAGGACCTCGTGGGAATCTGAATTTATTCCAATTATGGAGAATGGATTGTAGTGGGCTGGGGAATTATCTCAATAGCTATGGGTGTTTTGTTTTGTTTTGTTTTGTTTTGCAGAGGTAAGGGCTGTTCAGAGGAGACTGAGGAACAAGAATGGAAGCAAAATAGAAACTTAGAGCTATTGAAATTGTCCAAGTGAGAGTTGATGGTGATGTTGAGCCAGGGAGATAGCAGCCAAAATATTGAGAAATGCTTGGGGATGTAAAGTCAAGCGGAATTTGCTGGTAATGTATTGTGAAGTGTGAGGGGAATCACAGCTGCCCACAAGTTGGCCCTAACCATCAGGTGATGAAGTCCATCGTTTAAGAAGATGAATATGGAGTGAGGGAGTAGGTTTGAAAGGCAGGGACAAGGACCCGTGAAGTTTGGCCAGTAGGCATCTAGAGTAAGGCTATAATTTTAAATATGTCTTCCTGCAAACTTTTTAACGTTCATTTCAAAATAATTTTTAATATGCACCAAAGAAGAGAAACTAAAATAATAAACCCCCATGTACCCAAAATCCATCTTCAGCAACTATTAATGGTTGGCCAATCATATTTCACCTTTATGTTCACACACAATTGTCCCTACCCACCACCTTCCTTTCCCTGATGTCATATTTAGAATAATTATCAGACATACCATTTACCTATAAACTTTTGATGGTATGTATGTACATATATATATATCAGATGAACATGCCTCTTACTATCCATAGTACCCTTATCAAACCTAATAAATTCAACATTAATTCCATCATAGCATTTGCTATTAATTCTTTGTTCCCAAGTTTCCGGTTGTTTCATAAATGTCTTTTTACAGTTGGTTTGTTTGACAAGGAATCCAGTGAAAGTCTATACATCACACTGGGTTCATTGACTTCTTCCTTACTGATCTAATGCAGCTATAATAGAAGTACAGGGAGTCCCATTATGAACATCTGATTTATGGGCAACTTTTATTTTCCCTTTAGTATTATATAAATTTTCCCTCACTTTGAAATGATTGAAGCAACACACACACACACACACACACACACACACCGGCTGCTCAACAAGTGCTTCATCAGAATCTCTTTCACTTGTTGCACACACAGCTTTTAAATGATGGAGAAGCCTTCTGCTCCCTTTTTGCAATAAGGAAGGGCTAAATAAGATATGAATCCACCTTTTCTGGCTGCTCTACAAATTCTTAAAGACACAGCTACAAATGGATCGTGCTCGTAATCCAAGGACTGCCTGTACTGCAAATAGGTACAGTTCTGTTTAACAAACAAGTTTATTTTTTCTCTGTTTAGGAGACTAGACATTTAAACTCAGGGTGCTGATTTCTAGGACAAGAGTCTGTCTCTACCAGAGTTGGAGGAAGGTCTTGTCTCTTTGAACCTTTGCTTCTAGGTACCTTCCTATGTTCGCCTTCTCTCGCCTGCCATCTCTCCCTCTCACTTGTTTCTTTACCCTCCTTCATATCTCAAAAGAAATTGATTGCAGGCACAACATACACTAATCCTTCCATTAAGATTACAAAGACTATTCATTCCCAAATGAGATTATAACCCCAGGCAAAGAGGTTAGGATTTACCACACATATCTTGAAGAAACACACGTCAAGCCTTAACAGTCTCTCAATACTCTATTGACTGGAAGCAATTCTTTCTCACTCGTCTCCTTTAGTGCTTTTTATTTTTCAAGGAACCAAGCTGTCTAGTTTTTGAAACTTTCCACATTCTCGTTTGGCTGCTTTCTTGCTGCCAATTTATGTTCTATTTCCTGTATTTCCTGTGCCTAGTGGCTAGAGCTAGATTCAGGTTCAAGTTTTTCTGGCAAGACTACTTCCTAAGTGAGGCCATGTACTTCCTATTGCATCACAACAGGAAGCACTGATTATTTTGTTGTCTTTTTTTCTGGGGCTAAGATTGTTAAGTGCACTAAGAAGTTGTCAGCTTGTTCCATCCATTATAAAATTCTTAACTTTTTACCCAATGAAAATAACAATTGATGATCACTAATGAGTTAGAATTCCATTATTCAATTATTGGATGCAAAATGGTGATTTCCTAATCTTATCATTGTACCAGCACTCATTAGTTGGGATTCTTCTATGAAAGTTATGTTTGTTTTTTTTTAAATCAATTTATTGGGGCTCATACAATTCATCACAATACATAGATCAATTGTGTAAAGCACATCTATACATTTGTTGCCCTCATCATTCCCAAAATTTGCTTGCGAAAGTTATGCTTTTATGAAAAGTATTTAGTAACTGACATAAAGATTGTTCCACACAGGAAAAGTGCATAATTCATTTACTGGTTTTCAGAATAACAATAATAAGTTGGTGCCTAGCAATTTGAAAAACTAACCAACTAGTTTGGTCCTTGTTTTGTTTTTAAACTTGATTCTTAACTTTTTCCCAATTTAAAATATTCATTATCCTTCTTTAATGTGCAGGTGACCTACCTATGGTCACTGTGAGCACTTTCAAATTCGTTCTTGGATTTTTTTGTTTGTTTTTGCAATAAAATCCCAGTTAGTCTTTATATGTCCTGCTTCATACTTGGATTGAGTCATTTCTCCAGAGAGTCTTAGAGAATAGTATGTAGAGAACACACTCTGGAAGGTAGAGATGCTATTTACGACTAAGACATCATTGCTTCTAGATTCTTCCAGCATCCAGAGCTAGAAAATACGTGTTATTGCTTTGTTTGTTTGTTGAAGGAGAAAAATATATCATGAGTTCATATCATCTTCTTGATTATGGGGTTTTGTTTTAAGTTTATATTAATAGCTCCTTTTTTTTTCCAGATGGAATGGTTTAATGATGGGATGGGGTGGGAGAAAGCAAGCTCAGGAGGTGACCCCCACAGCAGGATGGGGCAGGATCCTCCATCCTAGGGATGGGAGGGCAGGAGGCAATTCCAAGCCTGGCATCTTCCCCTTTGACGGGCACCTCCCTTGCCCTCAGGAGAAGGGGGAGAGGTGAGTGAGGATCTCTGCAGAGGTGGGGCTGGAGGGAGTGGGAGGGTGGAGGCCAAGTCCCCCTCCGCTGCTGTGGCTCTGGGACAGGAGGGCTCTGTCCCTTTCACTGTGGGGCCTGGCCAGGCCCCAGGCATACAGCTGTGGGGTACAGGAGCCCCAGCCCTTGTGGGAAGGACAGGCGCCCTTGATCCCTGTCAGCCCTGATGTTGGGGAGAGGGTATGGTGCTGATCGGGCCCTTGGGGTTCCCAGGGGGGTTGGGGCTCTTGAGTAAAAGCTCTGAGAGGTGAGGGGCCGGGAGGTGGGCGGAGCCAGCAGGGTCTCAGGGGGGACCAGCAGCTGCTGGTGGAGCCAGGCAGATGTCTTTGACGTGGAGGCTGGAGCTCTGTTGGCGTCGCTCTCCTGCCCTCTGGGGCCCTTCTGCGGGCAGGGGCTGAGGGTAGTTCGAGTCGGGGCTGGGATGCTGAGCAGGGGCTGGGGGCCCCTAGGCCAGGTGTCCGGGTCACTGTCTCTAAAGCCCTTTGCAAAAGGGTTGCTGGCGATTTTCAGTTGGGTGATCCGGTGGTTCTGGTACGCGGTCACGGCCGTGAACTGGGTCTCGGGGAAGATGAAGGACTTGAAGTTCTCCTGGGCGTAGCGCTCACTGTCTCTGCGGGGGTCCATGAAGACCACATGGAAACGGGGCTGGTAGCGGTGCATGGAGTTGAGGATGATCTGGGGAGGAGGGGCACAGTAGACCTATTAATAGCTCCTTTAAGCTGAGATTTTGGTTTCTAATTCTATTAGCGTAATTGCTTTATTTTATGAAGGATACACTGTTGTAACAAAATAATCACTATGGTGATGGTTAAGGCTTTGGGTCAGCTTGGCTAGGCCAGGTTCTCATGGCTTGGCAGCTAACAGCTCGTTGTCCCCACGCTGAGATCTCCTCAAGGACATGGCCTACCTCCAAGATAAATGAAACCGATTGCAAAGCTTGCTTTAAGTGTGGTGAAGAATCAGATGGTGCTCAGCTATGAGAAAGAACAGCATCTGGGGTCTTAAAGGCTTATCTTCAAATAAGCATCCATCTAAGTGAGGCATCAACTAAGTCCACATGGAAGAAGCACAGCAGCTTGTGTGACCCATGGATTGTAAATAATAAAATCAAAACCCAGAGGACAGAAGAGAGAGCCAGGAAGCAAAGCTGTGTATAGAGGTATATTTAACATAGGTGTGCACATATGTAAATATATTAATTCATAAAAATAGAGTATTGGCCTATGTACATATATTTATAAGGCAATTATTGAGGAAGTGAACGGACTTTGGGCCTCTCCTCCTTCAGTGCAAGAACTCTTTGTTCCAACAGTCTGGCATTCTGTGATGTTCACCCTCCCAACATGATTGCTGAAGACAAATGGATACATAAGCAAATGTGATAAAGAAAGCTGATGGTGCCCGGCTATCAAAAGATATACCATCTGGGGTCTTAAAGGCTTGAAGTTATATAAGTGGCCATCTAGTAGAGAAGCAATAAAGTCCACATGAAAGAAGCGCACCAGCCTGTACGATCATGAGGTGACGACGGAATCAGGTAACAAGCACCAGAAGATCCAAAACAGACAAACAAACAAACATATTATTGGTGGGGGGGTGTCGAAGCAGAGACCCAAAACGAATCTGTAGACAATAGGATAGCCCCTCACAGAAGGGTCATAAGGAAGAGATCAGTCCACCAGGGTGCAGTATAGCACTGATGAAACACACAATATTCCTTTGGTTCTTTGACACTTCCTCACCCCCCACTATCATGACCCTGGCCTGCCTTTCCGTTCTGGCTAGAGCATGTACACTGGTACAGATAAGAGCTCA